GAGGGATGTGCTACTGAGAGAGATGGCCTGCTGAGAGAGACTGAGTCAAATATTATAGTGAAATGTGCAAAGACCTGGAGTTAGAATACCAAAAGGGAAGACTACTCTCAGCATTTCTCAAGCTGAAAGGGCTAAAGAAAATAATTCAAGCCTTGAGTTGCAATATTGAAAGATCTGATGGGCAAAATATTGAAGGATACAGGAAACATCAAAAGAAGGTGGGAGGAATATACAGAGTCACTGTACCAAAAAGAATTGGTCGATGTTCATCTATTTAAGGAGGTGGCATATGATCAGGAACCAGCGGTATTGATGGAGAAGTCAAAGCTACGTTGAAAGAATTGACAAAAAACAAGGCTTCAGGAATGGAAGGAATACCCATTGAGATATTTCAACAGATACCGCACTTACTTATCTGTGCCAGGAAATTTGGAAGATAGCTACCTGGCAAACTGACTGAAAGAGATCCATATTGTTACCCATTCCAAAGAAAGGTGATCCCACAAAACGTGAAAATTACCAAACAGTATCATTGATAACACACGCAAGTAAAATTTTGTTGAAGATAATTCAAAAACAGTTGCAACAGAATATTGATGCAGGACTTCCAGAAATAGAAGCTGGATTCAGAAGAGGACATGGAATGAGGGATATCATTGCTGATGTCAGATGGATCTTGGCTCAGAGCAAAGAATACCAGAAAGATATTTACCTGTGTTTAAGTGACTATGTAAAAACATTCAACTGTGTGGATCATAACAAATTATGGATAACATTGAGAAGAAAGGAAGTTTCAGAACACTTAATTGTGTTCATGAGGAGCCTTTACATAGACCAGGAGGCTGTTCTTTGAACAGAGCAAGGGAATACTGCATGATTTAAGATCAAGAAGTATGTGTGTCAGGATTGTGTCCTTTCCCCATACTTATTTAATCTGTATGCTGAACAAATAATCCAAGAAGCTGGTCTATATGAAAAAGAACATGGCGTCAGGATTGGAGGAAGACTCGTTAACAACTGCGATATGCAGATGATAAAACCTTGCTTGCTGAAAGATGACTTGAAGCACTTAACTGATGACAGTTACAGACTACAGTCTTTGTTATGGACTGTTGTTGTTGTTATTTGCCATTGAGTCGGACCCGACTCATAGCATCTTCTCCTTGGGTTTCAGAGGCATTATCACTACAGAAGTAGATTGCCCAACCTTCCTTCTGAGAAGTGGCTGGTGGTTTTGAACTGCCAACCTTCTGGTTAGCAGTCAAGTGCCTTAGGCACTATGCTACCAGATCTCCTTCGTTATGGATTACACCTCATCATAAAACAAAAATCCTCACAACTGCATAAATAAGCAGCATCATAATAAATGGAGAAAAGATTGAAGTTGTCAGAGACTTCATATTACTTAGTTCTGCAGTTAATACCCATGGAAGCAGCAGTCAGGAAATCAGATGATATACTGCACTGGGCAAATCTGCTGCAAAAGACTTCTTTAAAGTGCTAAAGAGCAAATATGTCTCTTTGGAGATTAGGGACTAAGGTGCACCTAACCCAAGCCATGGTATTTTCAGTAACCTGTTATGTATGTGAAAGTTGGATAGTGAATAAAGAATGCCGAAGAAGAGTTGGTGCTTTTGAGTTGTTGTGTTGGAGAATACTGTGGTAGTTAAGTTTGTGTGTCATCTTGGTTGGGCCTAGTATGAGTGGCTGGGTAGCTGGGGATAGTTATTCCCCATGATGAGAATGGCAGTCAGCTCCATGGTGGGATCTACCACAGGCAACTGAGTAGCTGCTTTAGGGATGTGGTTTGCTTCACATATATAAGAAGCAGATTTGGGGATGGTCTCTGGTTTATGGCATGCTTGAACCCTGCATGTAGCCGAGTCATCATTCAGCAGCCTGTCATGCTCTGCCGATCTTGGGACTTTTAATGGACTTGAATTAATGGCCTGCCATGTGGTTTGATAGTATTGGGACTGTGCCTTATTACTTGTCAACTTTGGGCTTGTCAGCCTCAGCAGCTAGGAGCTGAGTGAAGAAAAGCCTCCAGCTTCAGTGGGCTGGGAGCCTGGAATACAGCCCCTGGAGCCTGGCGCTTTTAACTCAGACTTAAAGCCTCCAAACTGTGAGAGAACAAACTGTTGTTTGTTCAAACCATCCCATTTGTGGTATTTTCTGTTAGAGCAGCACAGAGGTAACCAAAACAAATACTGAAAGTTGCATGGACTGCCAGAAGAATGAGCAAATGTGTCTTGGAAGAAGTGCATCCAGAATGCTCCTTGGAAGTGAGAATAAGTAAGTTTGTCTTACCTACTTTTTCACGTTGTCAGATGGAACCATTCCCTGAAGAAGGATATCATGCTTGGTAACATGGAAGGTCAGCGAAAGAGGACAAGACCCTCAATGAGATGGATTGACACAATGGCTGCAATGATGGGCTCAAGTATAACAAGGCTTGTGAAGATGGCACATGACCAAGCAGGATATAGGTTCCACACATTTTTGTTTTTCCCAGTGTGGAAGTAGAAATGATTATGGTATCAGATAGATACATATATATGTATATATATTTGAGTTTGTGATATATGGACAATACTGAGAAGGATATATTCAGCAAGTATTTGGGTATAGAGATCTAAAACTGGACGGAGGCTTGACCTTGCAATATTAATTGAGAGTTCTTAGTACATGTGATAATAGGTAAATGAGATTAACAAAAGTCATGTAACATGAGACTTCTGAGATTGAACTATAGGGAGGACAGATGTTTGGGTTGCCAGAGGAAGAATATATGAATACTCCCTCACAGTCATTTTCATTATGGGTTTTTAAGTCTCAAACCTGGTACCTGACACATTTTTATTAGTGATTTGGATAAGGGTCAAAGGCTTGCTTAACAGATTTTCAGATGAACCAAAACTGAGTGGTAGAGTTAACAAAATCAATGTAAAAAATGATATTGATTGTTTGCTTTTCTGGGCCTCAATCATCAGAATGAAGTTCAACAAGGGTAATAGTTTAGCAAATTCTGTAGTCAGATTAAACCCAGTCAGCTGGACAAGTACACAGAAGACATAGTTGTGCCAACATTAACAACAAACACAAAATCTCTGGGGGATATGTATGTATGTATATGTGTGTGTATGTGTATGTATTTTTTTTTTTAACTTTATCAAAAGGGATGATCAGGACCTTTGATCTCTGACCTAGTGTGATCACATCTGAATATTATACTTTTTAAAGGACTTAGTCTAGGATCTAGACTCTAGATTAAACCAAGATCTTAGAAAATGTGGAAACCATAATTTGTGAATAATAGTTGAAGAAACTTGTTGAGATATCCCAGGCTAAAATATGGGAAAATACATGAATTTTTTCTCTGACCAAGTTGTAAAACTAGGATTAGAGAATGGGTTTCTAAGGGCATCAAACCAGGATTTATTGGCAGTAGGAAAGAATGGGACCTGGGGCTTAGAGACTAGTTGGTGAGGATGGTGGAAAAATTGGTTTTGAAAGTCCTAGTAAAGTGATGAGTCTGAATTGAAAGATAGAAAACCAAGATAGTACTGTGTCCTTCCATAGGCTGAGCAGATAGGCCTCTTATTCTGAACAGGACTTATATCCTTAAAGATAGCATAGAACAAGACTCTGAAAACCAAAAATAAATAAATGAATAAACCAAACCCACTGCCATCGAGTTGACTCTGACTCATAGTGACCCCGATAGAAATTGGGGTACTAGATTAGGGGCCTGACTAGGGCCTCTGGTTAAAGAAGAGATCAGGGGACTCAGTTACTGGAACTGTTGTACAGGATCAGATATAAACCATTAGGAGGACTGACTTTGTTATTCTGTTTTTTTTTTTAATTGTGATTTGGGTGAAAGTTTACAGCACAAATTCACTTTCCATACAGCAGTTCACGTATACTTTGTCTCATGACATTGACTACAATTTACCACAAGCAACAGCTCCTCTCCCGGTTCCTCCTGATAGTTACCTCTTCCCTGTGTCCATCCCTCCATGCACTCGTGCCCCCTGAGCTGTCTCCCTGTGCATAAGCAGCCCTTCTTTCTCCCATGATTGTTTTCTCCAAGGAGTGTAGCTACATCAGGTACATGTTCAACTCCTATGCCTGTCTTCTGTTTGGCTGGAAGCCACAGGTGTGGGTTCAGTTCCAGACCTGGAGGGCAGCTAGGGGCCATAGTCTCAGTGGTTCCACCAGGTTCTATCAGACCAGCAAACCTGGTCCTCCCCCTCTTTTTATTCCCCAAATGATTCTGAGTTTTGTTCCACATTGTTCTCCCTCTCTATCCAGGATCTCCTACATAGATCCGCCTCCAAGTGGTTGACAGTGGTAGCTGGGCACCATCTAGTTCTTCTGGTCTTATAGTTGTATAGGCTGCGGATCACATAGTGTACCAGTCGCTAGGACTAATTGTTTCCATGAATGTTTGGTTTTCTTCATTCTTCTCTGCTCTGGACGAGTAGAGACCCATTGTTGCATCTAGATGGCTGTTTACAAGCTTTTAAGATCCCAGTCGCTAGTTGCCACAGTAGGAGGTAGAACAGTGTTTTGTGTAGTATGTTATACCAATTGAGCTTGACGTCCCCTGTGGCTATGGAGGAAGACTGACTTTTAACTGTCTGACAACATTAGTTCCAAGCTTATGTGACTAACTGACGTCAGAGGGATACTGGTACATTGGACAAGGCAGATTTCAGGAGATTTTGACCAAACACAGGATTTTTGTTAGCAGTCTTACTGCCCTATAGGAGAATGGTCTTCTCCAAGAGTTGAAATATCACTAGAGATATACAAGCAGCTGTTTGGTCTTCCTTCCTTTAGAGTACAGGAGAAAGAATTGGCTGCTTTTAGCAGGTGGATGTAATTAATGATTTTTTCTCTGGTCCTCTGTTTCAATGACATTGTATTTTTTGAATTTGTGTGTGTTTTGAATTTGGGGAAGATAAGGTAACTTTTCTTTTACTATATTTTAGGTGGCTGAATATACTATTTTGGAAGGAAAACTTCAAAAAACTCTAATTGACTTGGAGAAGAGAGAGCAGCAACTTGCCAATGCAGAATTAGAGGTACTTCATCCATGTATCATAGGCTTTATCTGGCAGTCTGTATATTAAGTTCATACCATTTATGGTAGCGTAGTGCCTAAGGCATTTGACTGCTAACCTGAAGGCTGGAGGTTCAAACCCACCAGCCACACCTTGGAAGGAAGATGGGGCATTCTACTTCCGTAGTGATATTGCCTCAGAAACCCAAGGAGGGGTTGCTATGAGTCGGGTCCGACTTGATGGCACATACAACAACAACAACAACATATTTATGTTAAATACATTTTATGGAAATTGTTTTTTAGAGGATATGGAGAAAATTGCTGTTCAACTTTTTTTTTTTAACTTTAGAATTTCAGGAATAGATAAAAAAGTGTTTGTGTTTGAAATAATTAAGTATCTTTCAGCCAGTTTGGGCCTGATCTCTTCTATAATGGAAGTTTTTTATTAACTTTCCCATTGTATGGAAGAAATAGATTGCTGTACTGCTAGAGAAAAGAGTAAACATAGTTCAGACTCAGAGACTTAAAGTCCTGATTTGCTTTAAGGAAGAAGGGTGTTTTCCCTCTTTCTTACCTGATAATGATTAGATTCTAAGAAGGAATGAGAACTTGTATCCATACTATGCCTAATTAGCATTCTTGTTACTGTAAACAATTTTATCCTAAATGCTTACAAAATTTTCTACAAAGGTTATTTCAAAACAATTAGAATTTCTTTCACGTCAATTCTATGTGTTCTTCCCCATTCAAAAGGCATTTAAAATTTTCTCAGCAAATCACCCTAACCATGTCTTTATGTGTTTTTATGGATTTTTAAGTTGTTTAGATTATGTAGAAATAATTTTGTTCCTCATGCTAAAGCTCTTTACCTTCTTATATTCTTAGGTAGGAAAAAAAAAAAAAGGTTTCTATAAGAAAAAAAAAACTCAGGCATATAAGCTTCTATAATAACAGGCTTTATTCAAATGAGAATTTTAAATGGTTAGGGCCTGTTCATCTGAATTAATATGAATTTGTATATGGATTTTTGTATATACTTTGTATATTAGTATTAAGTAATGATTGATGTTTTATAATTTCAGTATATTTAAATATTAAGTAATAACTGAAAATAATTTGAAATGAATTTATGAATATTTTGAACATTTAACTTTATCTAAGGATAATAGAATATTGGACAGTATATTCAGCTAGTAATAAGCCAACCTCTTAAACATGCACTTGTTTCAAGCTTCAACGGGAAAAAAAAGAACTGCAGTCAGAACGTGAACGGAACCTCCTAGAACTTCAGGACTCTATCCGTAGGGCTAAAGAAGATTGTGCTCACCAAGTAGAACTAGAAAGATTGAAGATAAAGCAACTAGAAGAGGATAAACACCGACTTCAACAGAAGGTTGGATAAAATACATGTCATGTTTTTATGGTTAGTTTATCTGTATCCTGGAAAGAAATCGTTTATTAAAAAGTAATAAAATTTATAGTAACTTGGACTACTAATCATAATTACCACACTGAGATTGAAGTATTCTTTAATTCAAATCTTTTTTTTTTTTTTAGGTAACAGTTACACTCTATTGGAATAATATTTGTTACTTTATAACTGTGTTTGTATGAAATTATGCTATATTTCAATTGAGTCCCAACTTTGTCTTCTTTTTCTAATAAATTTCCTTTTGTTGTTGTTGTTATGTGCCGTCGAGTCAAACCCGACTCATAGCGACCTACATTCTTCTCTCACCCCATCCCACTCCACTTTCTGTCCCCTCACATCAACCAGCCATCTGTCAGAAAAGCCAACAATGGTTGAGTCAGTAAGTTCAGTGGACACTTTTCATTTCTCATCTTACTAAAATTTCTTGAGAGGATCAATTCTGTATGTTCTCTTCTTTCAGCTTATACTACACCAGTCCCCTTGTTTTCCTCTACTTCTGTGGCCATCACTCAGGCTCCTTTGCAGCCTTTTTTCCTTTATCCAGCCATTAAATGTAATTCCTTCAAGCTCAGAACTTAACTTTGCAGGAAACAATCCTGCTCATGCCTGTGGCTTTAGAAACAATCTGTATATCTGTGACATCTACATTTATATCTCAGACCTTTCCTTTGTACTCCAAACCCTTTCCTTTGTACTCTAGGTGCTTTTGCGACATCTCTACTTGATATCAGTCTTAATATTGCAGCCAAAATTATATTTTTGAAATTTGAGAATCTTGACACTTCTCTTTAAAACCTTTTATTGGCTTCTTATTGTTCATAAGATACAGATCAGAATTGTTCCTTTGCCCTACAAGCCTCTGCATAATTTGGTCCCAGCTAGCCTCTTAATTTATTTCCTACTGTTTAAACTTTGTTTTTTACTTTCCAGCTATACAGGTCTTTCTTCAGATTCTTAAGCATGTCATGCTCACTTCACTCACAGGATCTTCGTGTGCGTTACTGTTTGTGAGCCTAGTGAATTCTGAATATCCTTCAGTTTTCAGGATTACTTGCTCAGAGAAATCTTCTCTGACCCCTGCTCCCCACGTCTAGGTCAAGTTTTTGACATAAATTCTCATGAGACATTTTTCTTCTGTTCTTTTTTCCTTTGTGTAGTATGTTACATCAGTTTGTTGTTATTTTCATTAGTGTGATAATTTGAACAATGTCTTAGTTCCATAAAAATGGTAACAGTGGTTTATTTATTTATTTGGCTTATACCGGTATGCCTGAATCTTCCCCCCAATATTCATGGATAACAATCTGGCATATCTATAATGTTTAATCTTCTTTTAGAAGTGATATCTTAAGAAAAATGTGAAAAGAATATCTGTATTCCGTATGATGACTTTTTGATTGGCCAGCTAAAATTTAACGAAAACATTCTCATGGTACTAGTTTTATATATGTCATACCAGTAAAAAGGGTTTTGTATATTGCTAATCAGTTGATTAGGAGCTCTGGTGGTGTAGTACCTAAGGCATTTTACTGCTAACCAGAAGGCTGGCAGTTCAACCTATCAGCTGCTCCTTGGAAGGAAGATTGGGCCATCTACTTCTGTAGAGATACCACCTCAGAAACCCAAGGAGGGGTTGCTGTGAGTAGGATCCGACTCGACAGCAGAGAGTTTGTTTTTTTTTTTTTGTGAATCAGTTGATTAAATAACATTTTTAAAGATCTTTATGTTCCTCATTGCATTTTATATATTTTCCAGACTTACTGCTACAAACAGGATTTGTTGTTGTGTTGTTATGTGCCATCGAGTTAGCCCTGACTCATAGCGACCCCTCCTTGGATTTCCAAAGCGGTGTCACTATGGAAGTAGATTTCCCAACCTTCCTTCCGAGGAGGATTGGTGGGTTTGAACCGTCAGCCTTCTGGTTAACAGTCAAGTGCCCTAGGCATTACGCTACCAGAGCTCCCAAACATACTTAAAATTTAAAAAAAAAAATGACTCAGTTGAATTCTGTAACTTAAACTTGCATATTTTAATTTTGAAATGACTATAAATGATTTTTCTCTCTTTTTTTTTAAATGCAGCTTAATGAAGCTGAAAATAAGTATAAGAATTTGGAAATAGAGTTCCAGCATTTCAAGGATCAACAGAGCAACAAACCAGAAATACGTCTACAGTCAGAAATAAACCTTCTCACTTTGGAAAAGGTACCATGTCAATTTATGACTGCTTAACTATTCCCAATGATCAATTTATAAAATCAGTAAATAATAATATTTGCATATAAAATACAATAATATTCCTCTGTAGTAGTATAATATTAAATGAAAGTACATCAGAGAAATTCAAGGCACATGGCATTGTCAGTACTTGGATTTCTTGGCTTTTATCTGTTATAAACCCCCAAAAAACTTGTTATCGTTGAGTTAATTCCAACTCAAAGTGACTCTGTAGCACAGAGTAGGGTTTCTAAGGCTGTAAATCTTTACAGAAGCAAATTGCCTTGTCTTTCTGCTGCAGGGCTGCTGGTAAATTCGAACTACCAACCTTTCAATAAGCACCTGAGTGATTAACTACTGTGCAGTCAGGGCTCTATATCAATTATAGCTTATTTAGAGTTTTTGTATGCGAGCAACAGAAACTAATTGCAGGAGTAAAGGAATTCACAAAACAGGAAAATTGAAGAACCAGTTTTAGAAAATAGGAACTAGAGGATGCAAGGTACGACCAATATCCTGTCTCAGAACAGTCTACCTAGAATGCTGTTGCTAGTGCCATGACAGCATGTCACTGGATTCTGTATCCTCTAATTCTGGTGTCATACTGTTCAGGTTTCAGTTTTGCTGTAGTCACTGTGACTGACTGTGCTATTGCTGTCCTCTATCTCTGTTAACACTGTCCTCTAGGTTTAAGAGTAGAGGTAAAGTGGAGGGCTTGAATATGGAAATAGAACAAACACAGTGGGAAATTTGATAGCATTACTGATGGGAGAAGGATAACAGTTGAGGTTAGACTGCATATTTTTGAAGCCAATTTTGTCAGTGCTGTTACAGCAAAGTTTAGAACAGTTCCTTCCCTTTCCCTAGTTAACACAGGCTAATGAAGGTGGCTTGAGTTTGGAGACTGGTAAAATGGTAAGATCTTAGAAAGACCATTGTTTGAAATAATCACATTTGGCCTACTGAATGGACTGGGAGAACAGAAACGGGTCAAAGGACCCAGAAGGTCACTGTCATTGAAGATGAGTGAAATGGAAATTAAAATGAAAAGATTTGGTGATCTTATGATTTTAAGATCTTGGAAAAGATCTCCTTGGCTGTGTTCTCTCCTGCTTCTCATAAGCCCTTCCCACATGGAGGATAAGTTAGTGACTGGGAAAACTAAGCTGACTGGCTAATAGTTACAAATAAAAATCTTAGAAAAGGATTTGGCTATATAATGGTGAGTTGGAGGGATAATCATAGTACATATTGGTTGTTGAAGTACAGTGGAGGTAAAGTAATGAAGAACTCAACACTTTAAATACAGGGCATTATTATGTGAGATGAAGGAGCTCTGGAGGCTGGTGCCTAAGGCATTTGACTGCTAACCAGAAGGTTGGTGGTTCAAATCCACCACCACTCCGTGGAAGGAAGACTGGGCAATCAACTTCTGTAAAGATTTACTGCCTTGGAAACCCAAAGGGGGTCACAGTGAGTCAGAATTGACTCAATGGCAGTCAGTTTTTTTGGTATGTGAGATGAGCTAAATAATGAGGAAAAGTGTGAACCTAGCACTGAAATTATTAATAAAGTAGGTGTATATCAAGAAAGATATTTCAGACCAAGTGTTTTGAAGCTCTTATAGAGACCAGTGGCACGTCGGAGTGGCAGATAGTAGTCTAGAACCCTTCACTTAAGTCAGAGCAGCTCTGTGTTCATTGTATAATGCTTCTTTTTTGAGACAGTTTTAACTTAGAGTATCATGAACACTTTTCAAAAAACGAAAAAAACCTTGAAAACTTCTGACTTGATTTTGAAACAAGAACCCTTGTTTTGAATAGTTGTCATAGAGTAGTAGTCAGAAAAGTGGCATTAGGGAAGAAGAAATAGATCTGTACGTTTGGGAGAATGGACTAATGAATGGATAACATCAACAGAAGAGTGCTTTGAGCAAAGTGATGTCTGGTCTCTGTTGTTTTGTGGCTGGGAGAGGAGGACTGCTGAGTAGTTTCAAAATCTTTTATTTCGTAACTTCAACACTCAAAACCTTAAAGCTTATGTTGAGATATTATAATCAAATATCAGGCTGTTGGATAGATTACTTTGTTGTTGTTGTTAGGTGCCATCAAGTCAGTTTTGACTCATAGCAACTGTAAGGTCACGGCAAGGAGAAGAGGACGCAAAAAGTGGGGTTAAAGAGAAGTTTTTATTCTGCGTTTCCGGGCAAGGTTTACGGGTCCCCAAGAGGGGCCCAGGCGAGGTTCACAGGTTCCCTGAGAGGGGCCCGAGAAGTTGAAGTTGTGCCGTGCCAGGGTAGGGTTTATAGTCTTGCAGAGGATCTAAGTGGGGACACTGAGAGAAAGGTGGGGTCCAATTAACTGGTAGCAGGGATCAGCACTTCATTAGTATGAGGGGTTTTTAAAGAGGAAGTTCATTAGCATACGGGACTTTCCAGTCTGGGCAGATTCTGCTACATCAGCTGTCCTTCAGTTTTGTGTTTTGTGCCTCAGGCTTAACAGCAACCCTATGTACAGCAGAGCAAAACAGTGCCCAGTCCTGTACCATCCTCACAATTGTTGCCATGCTTGAGCCTTCATTGCAGCCACTTTGTCAGTCCATCTCCTTGAGGGTCTTCCTCTTTTTCAGTGAGACTCTTCTTTACCAGGTATGATATCCTTCTCCATGGACTGGCCCCTCCTGACAACATGACCATATATGTGAGATGACATCTGGCCATTCTTTCTTCTAAGGATCATTCTTGCTGTACTTCTTCCAAGACAGATTTGTTTGTTCTTCTGGAGTGCATAATCTATTCAATATTCTTAGCCAATACCATAATTGAAATTCATCAATTCTTCTTTGGTCTTCCTAATTCACTGTCCAGCTTTCACACACATAAGAAACTATCGAGAAGATAATGGCTTGGGTCAGATGCACCTTTGTCTTCAGTGATGCATTTGCCTTTAATGCTTAGGTCTTTTATAGCAGATTTGCCTAATGCAATACATCATTTGATTCTATTTTTTTCTTTACCTATGTATCCACCCACAGATTAGTGTTTGCTGTTACTGTTAATGCAGTATTGTATCTGCAGTAGTATTTACTTTTACTGTCTGTACTTCTTGTGCACCATTCTGTGACTTCCTTTTCCTTAATGATATTGTGTCAGCCATACACTTTTGTTATATTGGTTTTTCCTTCGCCCATATCAAGCCTATCTCTTAATTATCCACCTATATTCCCTCCCTTCCCCTCCCCTCCTTTCTTGGTAATCAACAAGGAAAATTTCCTTCCCTGTGTAAACCTTTCCTTGGCTTTTTACAATAATGGACTCATGTAGTATTTGTCTTTTTGTGATTGATTTATTTCATTCAACATAATGTTCTCCAAGTTCATCCATGTTATGTGGTGTTTTGTAGATTCTCAATTATTCTTTAGTGTTACATAGTATTCCATTGTGTGTGTGTACCATAGTTTGGTTATTCATTCATCTGTTGATGGGCACTTAGGTTGTTTCTATCACTTTGCTATGGTAAATAGTGCTTTAGTGATAATGGATGTGTGTATATCTATTCGTGTCCTGTATCTCACCTCTTTAGGATATGTTCCTAGTAATGGGATTGCTGGATCAAATGGTATTTCTATTTCCAACTTTTTAAAGGAAGCACCATACCATTTTCCATAGTGGTTGTACCATTTTATAGTCCCAACAGCAGTGTATGAGAGTTTCAATCTCTCCACACCTTCACCAGCATTTGTTCTTTTCTGTTCTGTTGAACTTTGCTATTATTGCTGGGATGAGATGATATCTTGTTTTGATTTGCCTCTCTCTAATGGCTCTCAAGTCCACAAGAGCCAAAATATGACCTTGAATATATCCCTCCTGAATTTAGACATCATCTAAAGAATAGATTTGATCCATTGAATACCAATGACAGAAAACCAGAGGAATTGTGGGGTGACATCAAGAACATCAAGAAAGCAAAAAGTCATTAAAAAGACAGGAAAGGAAGAAAAGACCAAAATAGATGTCAGAAGAGACTCTGAAACTTGCCCTTGAATGGAGAGTAGCTAAAGCAAATGGAGGAAATGACAATATAAGAGCTGAACAGAAGATTTCAAAGAGCAGCTTGAGAAGACAAAGTTAATTATTATAATGAAATGTGTAAAGACCTGGAGTTAGAAAACCAAAAGGGAAGAACACACTTGGCATTTCTCAAGCTGAAAGAACTGAAGAAAAAAAATCAAGCCTCGAGTTGCAATATTGAAAGATTCTATGGGCAAATAGTGAATGATGTAGGAAATATCAAAAGAAGATGGAAGGAACACAGAGTCACTGTACCAAAAAGAATTGGTTGATGTTCATCAATTTCAAAAGGTGGCATATGATCAGGAACCAGTGGTACTGAAAGAAGAAGTTGAGGCTGCACTGAAGGAAGTGGTGAAAAACAAGGCTCCAGGAATTGACGGAATACTCATTGAAATGTTTCAACAAATGGATGCCATGCTGGAGGCACTTACTCAGCTATGCCAAGAGATATGGAAGACAGCTACCTGGCCAACTGACTGGAAAAGATCCATATTTGTACCCATTCCAAAGAAAGGTAATCCCACAGAATGTGGAAATTATTGAACAATATCATTAATATCGCACATAAATAAAATCTTACTGAAGATCATTCAGAAATGGTTGCAGCAATATATTGAGAGAGAACTTATAGAAATGCAAGCTGGTTTCAGAAGAGGATGTAGAATAAGGGATAACATTACTGATGTTAGATGGATTTTGGCTGAAGGCAAAGAATACCAGAAAGATGTTTACTTGTATTTTATTGACTATGCAAAAGATTCAATTGTGTGGATCATAACAAATCGTGGATAACATTGAGAAGAATGGGAATTCCAGAATGCTTAATTGTACTCATTAGGAACCTTTACATAGATCAGGAGACTGTCATTCAGCCAGAGCAAGCGGACACTGCATGGTTTAAAATTAGGAAGGGAGT